ATGAGAAGTTTTTTTCCTGAAATATTACTAATAAAAAATATATGGACATAAATGTGAATATAAGTTATCATGGGTAATATTTATAGTCACTACGATATAACACTTGAATAAAATTACAAACACTAAATTTACTAGAGTCGCATTTTTGTCCACGACTTTTATTTTGATTATAGATTTGGAATTATTTCTAAAAAATGTACTTCTAATACTATGATTTAGGTATTCTAATTTACAGCAACCAATCAAAATTAATCTAATCATCCAATACACCTCTACAAAATTATTAGCAATTACATAAATTAAAGCAATCTAGAGTAATGTTTCCCGATATTTGGACTTTAAACTCATATAGTCATATGTGAGCTTTATGAAAGTTATTGGGTGAAAAAATATAAGAGAGTCACAATGTGAAAATGGTGTATAGAAAATCATGAAAATCAAATAATCAATATGTGAAGAAAATAAATCTTGTAGAAGTTAACACGGGAAGGATGATGAATGAAATTGAAAATTAAAAATCTAAAATAGTGAATTTCGAGCATCAACTCATCAGAATTGCAAAGGATAGCCGATTAGTTGAATATTTTTTCAAAAAAATAGAGAAAATAAGTGACATATACTAATGTACTACTATTCATATATACTTAATATATTAAATAATAAATACATAAACTATTAAAATATGTAAGTTAATTGTGCGGGTCGGGTAATGGTGCGAGTAACCGTATCCAAATTAAACGGGGCGGGTAATGGGGCGGGTAACGGGGCGGGTAGGTATAAACCCATAACCGCCTCATTACCCGTTTACATAAATCGGGTATTCCCCGCCCCGTACCCGTTACCGGGTCAAAGCGGTTTTCCCCATTTTGACCGGTTCGGTTCGGTGCGGGTATCCATCGGGTCGGGTTAAATTGCCATCCCTAATAGCATTTCTTATATTTTATAGCATGTTTAGTCTCCAAATGAGGAGCTAAACTTCCATTTCTTGGTTTTGCTCTTGAAGCTTGTTGATTATTAAAGTTGTGAGTTATTTTCTTACTTTCTCCTCTTGATTATTAATTCTTCCCTTAATCTCATTCTATATTAATGTTGGAGGGTTGCTAAGTGACGATTAGTTAACGTTCCGACATTAATTATTACTAGAAACGATCAACGAACCGATGGTTAATCGTTGATGGTTTCACAAGTAAGTAACTTCGGTTTATTAATGCACGGTCGTGGTTAATAAATTTAAGAGGGATTGATTTTGTTAGTTAAACTGAAACCGTTGTGCTGAGGTTATCAATTTCAATTGATTTTATCACGGAGTTAAAGAGGTTAAATGCTACTATTATATCGGTATACAGTGTTGTTCTATATTTGATTAATAGTAAGGGTTATTAATGAACGGTCGCTGTTAATAACTACCCTCGATGAATTGGATATACTCCTCGATTGAGTATTCGAGAGATGATAAGTTATAGATATAACAATGATCGACTAAAATATATCAACAAGTGGAAAGTAGCAAGGCCAAGTCCCTTTTATTCTTGAATTAAATCTCATATAAGTCGTTCATCTTAGTTTCCTATTAAATCAAATCATTCAATCCAACCCCCCCCCCCCCCCCCCTTTATTTACATAGTTTTATAAAAAGAGAAGTATTCCTTTCACTGTGGATACGAACTTACTACGATATACTACGTATAAGTGTTAGTATTAAATTTATTTTGAAGTGCACACCGCGACGAAGTGCACGTCATTGGTCTAGGGGAGTAATCAAATCTTGGGATATGCATGATGTACTGTTTCGTATGGATCTAATATAAGCTATTTCCTTTCAAAAAAAATATATAGCGCAACTCAGTGCTTCATCCGATCTCACCATCTCAAATTTAGGTTTATACGGTAGTATATTAAATCAACAATTTGATCCCACAATATAAGGATTGACCTACAGACCTACAAAAAACAATTTAATGAGTAAAATCAGATTCAATACTCGGCAGCGTCATACATTTAACGTGAGATAAAAGACACATATTGTCCAAAATAGGAAAATAGACTTTATTTGTGCTACTACATTTAACTACTTATTTGACTGGATTAGCCTCATAATAAAATTGAAAATGTACATAGTTGAAATGAAAATATGTGGAACTTTTATCTTAATCTTTTAAATACAAGTATTATTATTCATTAAAAAATCACTTGTAAAAAGCAACCCAAATTAGCTAATTCTGCCACTACAGCTACAACATTAACAAATTCAATATACTTACTCGTCTAAATCAAATCTACCACTACCAGATGGACTTCTAATTGATATAAGAAAAAATTGTCCATAATAGGACTAAAACTTACTTAAAAAGCCATAATAGGACTTACTATGTTTTATTCCCCTAATAGGAGTTATACGGTTCTACAGGTATGTTTAACGCTTTAAGCAATATCCAAAATACCCCTGCCTATGTTTGCCATTAAGCCGCAGGTGTTACCGGCTATTTTCGGTAATCCATGTGTGAAACCATTTATGAGTTTCCGTTAGTTTCCCTCTTTGATCGAGATTCTTTCTAGAAAATCAGTTTCCTAAATCAGTTGGGAAGTCAGTTGAGGTACTCTGTTTTTTTTTTCGCGTTATTCTTCTTCTTCGTCAATCATCTTCTTCGCGATTTGTTTGAGCTGTTCGTCCTTCTCCTCTGCATTCATCTTCTTCCGCCATTGTTCGTTCGTTTGCAGAGTATGTTCACCGAAACTTTCCTGTATAGTCCTTCTTCACCAATCATGGTTAAATTTATGTTGCAATTGCTCTCATTTTGCTTCTAGAATATGTCAATTCGTCCGTTGTACACATGTCGTTCTGCAATCATCAATATGTTTTATTCCTCTGTATTTTGCTTCTACAATATTAACAAAAAATTCAAAATTTTTATAATCGATTTCAAATTCATTATTGTTAATAATTTAGCTCGTTTGCTTTTCATCAACTCTATCAATGCTTTTATTTCATGAAATTTCTTCGTATGTTGCTATTTCTGCGTTTAATCTTGGTGTTTAAATTGTGTCTTGCTGTAAGTACTAGATTAGGTTCTTCATAACTGGCTCTTTTGTATTTGTAACTGTCATTTTGTATTGTTTGCTGATTTGCCATTTTGTGTGGTAAATATTATTTATACATCCTTATAGACTGTCACATATTCACGCAAACTGTCATTTTAGTATAACCAACTTTCTTCTTTCATGCTTCTGTTATACTGAAATATTTGTTTTTCCTTCAATTTTTAGGAACCTTTTTGCACAATGGATCTTGTTTTACTTGTTATGGTCAAGGTCGATGGTTTTTGGGATTCTAACTATGTGTTCACCAATGTGCACACATGTGGGCTTCATGTTAACTATGGTGTTCAATATGCTTGTTTTGTTGATATGTTGACTGCCATCCTTTCTCAGTACAAACCTAATCATAATTTCAGGCTTTCTTATATGAGAGATGGATTCCCTCCTCCTGTAACTATAAATGATCAATCTACCTTAACATTTTATCTTTATATCAAGTCTCTTCAACCAGATTTTCTAAAGTATCCACTTTGTGTTGAGTTTTATCCTATCTCTTCTTCATATCCATCTTTTGTTGTTGTTGAACCTTCTGCTTTTCCTTCAGCTAAAAATGTTGTCATTTCTTCAACTCATTCACTTTTTGTTGATGAGAATGTTGTTGTTTCTTCCCAACAACATGCCTCCTCACCTGCACTCTCTTTTGATCATAGCTCATGTTTTTGCACTGAAAATGTTAACATCTCTGGTAGACACTCTCAAGATGTTGCTTCTTGAAGTAACACTATGTCTAGAGCTGTAGAAATTGAAACATCTGAAGACAGTGATGAAGGCATGGATGACATGTCAGATGGCTTAGTAATAGAATCATCTCAGTCACTGTCATTTCTCCACAATTTTGAAGTCATCACACAGTCCCATCCTACTTGTCTTGTTCTATATGCTATTTACAAAAGTAAAACAGACCTTATCCACCATCTGAAGATGTATGCTATCACAAACCACTTTCAATACAGAACAAAGACCTCTAGGAAAATATCTTTACATGTTATTTGCTTAGATCCAAAATGTCGTTGGACTGTACGAGCTGTAAGACTACCTGGCGTACAAATGTTTCAAATTAGAAGGTAACTTCTTATTTCATTCTTTTTGTTTGACTTCGTTGTTAATTCTTGTTTATCAGAATGCCATGTATTGGTGACATTCTTGTCCAAGAATGCCAATTGTATATTACTCGCTTGTATAAAACTGCCATTGTTTTGTCATTTTAGATTCTGTCCAGAACACACATGCTCTATTGATTATAGACAAGGCAAACATAGACAGGCAACTGCTACTGTGATAGCAAAACTTATTGCACACAAATACCTTGATGCTTTCAATAAACCGTACCCACCAAAACAAATTCGTGAAGACATGAGTATGCAATATGGAATTTCCATGTCATACAAAAAATCTTGGAAAGCACAGAAGAAAGCAATGCAGCTGCAATTTGGTTCTGATCTTGAATCCTATCAGGTTTTGCCTTCTATGGATTATGTGCTTGAGATGGCGAATCCTGGCTCTATGTTTGATCTAGTCACAGGGAAGGATGATGCATTTTGTATCTTTTTTATGTCATTCAGAGCATGGATAGAAGCTTGGCCTCACTGTAGACCTGTTCTTATACTGGATGGTTCATTCCTGAAGGCTTACTATAAAGGCACTCTTCTTACAGCTTGTTGTCAAGATGCCAATGATCACATAGTTCCTATTGCATTTGGTATTTGTGAGTCTGAAACAAAATCTTCTTGGAAATGGTTTTTATCCAAAGTCTGTCAGTCAATACAGTACAGACATGACCTTTATGTAGTATCTGATAGGCATAAAGGTCTTATAAAGGCTGTTTCTGAAATCTTGCCACATGCTAGCCATGGTTTTTGTGTTGCTCATCTGCGTCGTAACATGACACACAAATTTAGAGGATTTGCAGCTACTTTGGGATGGAAGTTCAAAGCTGCCTATATGGCAGCAACTGTTAAAGAATATGATGACTACTTATCCATGTTGGATTCTGAAAACTCCAGGATAAGGACTTGGCTAGACAAAATAGGTGCTAACACATGGTCAAAAGTAATTTCTGGACCAAAGAGATATAATATTATGACCTCCAATTGTGCTGAGTCTATGAACAAAGTCAATGTATGTGCAAGAGAGTATTCAGTCTCTAAACTTGTTGATTTTTTGCGTGAAAGGATGCAACAATGGTTCACAGAGAGGAAAGATAAAGCTGAGAAAACAAGTACTATACTCACACGGAAATGTGAGAAACGTCTTGTAGCTTTGCAAGCTGAAGCTACACGTATGAAGGTATGTCAAAGCTGATTTTTAACCATAAGTCAGTTCTCAGTTTTTTATCTGGTTATATAATGCCACTTTGTTTATCACTATGTCATTTTGATTCTGCATATCTGTCAGTTTTGTTCTTGTGTTAGTATATTGTTTAGGTATTTCATTTTTATTCTAATTTGATATTCATATTTTGGCCATTTCCTAGGTGAAACCATCATGTGCATATGAATTTGAAGTTGTTGATAGCAGATGCACGTCCTTTGTGGTCAATCTCAACTCTAGAAGTTGTACTTGTGGCCACTTTCAACTAGATCACTTTGTTTGTGTTCATGCTGTTGCTGCAATTGCTATACGCCCACATCTGTCATGTTATACTTACATTTCTCCTTTTTATACTAGAGATGCTTGGCTTGCTACATGGTCTTGTATTATGCATCCAATTGTTGATCGTGACAGTTGGTCTGTTCCTGCTACTATTCAAAACCAACTATGCAAGCCACCAACTTGTATGAAGCGTCCTCCTGGTCGCCCGAAGAAATCCAGGATTCCATCCATTGGAGAATATAGAGGTTCAAAAAGACAAAAATGTTCTAGATGCCATGTGTTTGGCCATAATAAGAAAACTTGTAGGAATCCCATTCCAATCAATACCCAGTGATACCCATGGCTAATTCATTGTATTTTGTCTTTTGTTTTTATAAAGTACTTTTAAGAATTCTATTATGTGGTTTGGACACAGTTATCATTTGTTTAAATGTTCTGCCATTTAGTTTTCAGGCCTTGTGTTTTGGCATTTTGTTTACTCGTAACTGACATATGTCAGATTTGATGGCAATTTCTGTTCACAATTGATGACAGTTTGTTATGGAGAGAAGTCAATGATGTATTTGACATTTGATGTCAGTGTAATAAATTTAGCCATTTCCATTGCCCAAAATGGCATGTCAATATTGTGATGTCCTATTGTATATGCGTAATTGATAATGTTCATTGTTGATGTCATTTGGGTTTCTAAAAAAATGTCATGTAACTGTCATTTTATGTCATTTACATGCTGCATGTACTCAAATTTGACCCCACAAACAATCCTTGCATATGAAACTACAAGTATCCTGTACATAAACATAATTGAATAAACTTGCAGGAATCCCATTCCAATGAATACCCAGTGATTTACCTTTGCCAACTCATTGGAAGTAGTTATAATTTCCTTAAACATTTAAGGTATTGATTTAGCCATTCTGCATATAAACAAAATTCTATCATTCAAATGTTCTTTACTCACAATTGCAGATCAATTCTCTGATGTCATTTTAATTATTAAAAATGACATATGTTCATATATCATGTCAATTGATGATACCACAAATGTCATCTAAAAATTAACACAAGTATAGATGAACACAATTATCCTATGAACTATTACCATTTGAAACATACATTCATAGGTTCTGTTCGAAAAACAATAACAAAGTCAAACAACATGTTGTTCGAAAACAATCACAAATGATAAACATAATTGTTTCAAAACAATAACAAAGGATAAGCATAATTGTTTCAAAACAAATGTACTGGATGTTCCAAAAGTACTATTACATATTAAAAGCTGCACTTCATTCTTTCTCAGCCTGCCTTCTCTGGCTGTATAGAACCAGCTCAGTTGTCATTTTTTCCCTAAACAAGGGTATTGCTTCAGGATATATGGCATCCATGTCCATCTCTACCATTAGAAATTCTGCCATCTTCAACATGTATATTCCACAGTTTCCCCTGATGCATAACATAAAGAAAAAACATTTTTTAAAAATAATAAAGAAGTTCACTATTACCCAATCTGTTTAAGTAAATTTATATGCTCTTACCCATCATCTTGTTGTGGACATCCTTCTACAGGATCTACTTCCAAATACCGTTCACCCATAATCTCTTCACCCATCAGTTCGTAGACTCTGTGATAATCCATAATTCTGGGCAGGAGCACAGTTATGCTTGCATAATAGGATCTGATATCCCTCAGTGAATCACCTCTTCTAGCATTTGAATTGTACACCCTAACTTTTCTTTGCTTGATATCTAGTACTAACAACACCCAATGATTGCCAGTATTCAGAGGAAAGTACACATAGTCTGCCTTGCTCCAGTGTAGGCTATAGTTGTTAGCACCTATTATTTTACGCACAATGTTATCTTGTTCTGCTGACTTGTGGTATGTGTAGTGCCCCTTTGATATTGTGTCAAGTTCACGCTTGAGTATTTGCAAGAAAAAAGGGCCAGTTGTGGTATACTTCTGTGGCAGTTTGTAATGCACCCTTTTCATGCCCAAATAGTACATTACTACCTCAACATGCTGTAAGAAGTAAAATACACATTTATCATTTAAAGGTAAACCAAACTGACTAATAATGTCATTTTGTACTGACTCAGATGTATTTAAATTTACACTTTGTCATTAAACTGACAACTATATGATCATTTGTATGTGTACCTTGTCAGTGATCCATTGGTGATTCATAAACAGGTCATATAACCATGTTTTTGATTCAACTTTCATTGTATCTACCAAGAATGGTTTGTTGGTCATTCTGTCTTCGTCCTTTTTGTACCTTCTGCCAGTTTTGTTTTTTGTGAAGTTCTTCAGCAATCCAACTTCTAAGTATTCTTTCACCTTCTGTATTTCTTCAACCGGTGGGTTCTCTGTTGGATCTTCAGAGAAAGGTCCAATTATTTGCTTCAGAGGTGCCAGAAATTCATCATCTTCTCTTTTCTTTCCCTTTTCTCTCTTCCTCCTCTTTGATGCATGCTCAGTTCCCATGTACTTGACTGGTGACCTAACAACACGCTTTTGTTTGGGAAGATCCTCCTAAGGCATTGGCATAATATATATTATTTACTATGTTGTTATATGTTTATTTAAAAGAAGTAAGATACAGTCAATGTCATAGTACAAAATGTTCATAAACATTGGCAGTTGAATGTCAGTTTAACAATTGAAAATGCCACATGAATGGCATTTTACTGAGTTTTTGCATTTACCTGATCAGTTATTATGAGTGCTCTGCATGGATTAGAAGAATAGCTTTCAAAAGCCTTTTTTGCCACTTCATCTGCAGTCCTGCACATCTCTTGGACAAACTGACTATTTTCCTGTGAGCCCATCCCCCAAGCAGACTCACCAGTGTCTTTTTTATTTTCCTGTGCAGGTAGTCCCTCCTCTTGCATTTGGACACTGTCTTCAATTTTTTTCTGACTACCTTGATACTGAGTGAGTATTTTGAATGTAGGCATGTCACAAATTGCTTCTTCAGTGTTCTTTTCTATCTCCTCAGTGTTCTTCTCTTGCATTTCGTTTTCATTTCTTTCTGCATCCTCATTCTCTTCTTTATCATCCTCAACCTCTGCATCAGCATCCTTATTCACACATGAATCCTCACTCTGAAAATTTGCTGCCTGTTTCTCTTTACTAGCATGTTCATTCTCTACAACATCATCATTCTGTACAACACCATCCTCAGCCTCTGCATTCATCAACCTAGTGTCCTCTTCCACAGCCATATCAGCAACATCATTCTCAGAATCTGGCCCAGTCATGGCTATCACATCATCTTCTTTTTCTTTTTCATTTTCTTCTTTTTCTTCTCCACTTTCTTCTTCATCTGTATCACCCTCTGCAGTTGCTTTTGTAGGCTCACTCTTCTCAACACCCTGTGACATTTTGTTGAGCATCAGAATGACATCTTTCAAAAGATCCTCTTGCTTTTTTTGATTCTTCTTCATATTTTTCATTTCTGCCACTAATCTGGCAGTCTCCTTTGCTTGTTTTCTGATGCTCTTTTTAATACTTTTGCTGTCTTTGCTCATGAAGAATACATACTTATCTGCTTCCCTTCCACTCTCACTAGAATCATCACTATCGGTCTCTTCACCTTCATCACTTTCTTGATCACTTGAATCATCATCACTCTCTTTTTCTACTGTAGTATTGTTTCTTCTCCTTCTAGAAGGCCCTTCTTGAGATTTGATTGCTTTACCTGTGCTCCTCCCAGCTTTTGTTTTTTTTCTTTTGAATACTTTGGCCTGCATCACCTTTTGTTTCCCTTTTGCTACAATAGTATTTGGCTTTTGAGCATCAATCCTGCCAACATTGTTTATCACAAGGTGCATCACCTCCTCATTTATGTCATTTCCCTCTTCTATCATAGCAATCTCATCTGCAGTTGGTACTATCTGTGCCCATTCAAACTAAAACAAAAAACCATGTTAGTAAACAATGTGTGCACATAAACATTTAAAAATTTACATATTAATCAATAACATACCTTGTCATTCTTGAATATAATTTCAGAAAGGACCTCCAGTGTAGGTTTTTTTTTAAACTCCCACTTTAGAGTCCTTGGTATGATATGTCTTGTCCCCTTGATGACTTTGCATAAGCCAGCCTTTGCTAAACCAGGAAAAGTTTCAAATGCCCACCACTGGAATGCCATTATGAAGCCAGGGAATGTTACTCTGTCTGCTTTTCCTTTATCTAGTGCCTCACAGCTCTGTTTCACCTTGTTAACCAAGTCCACCCAAACGTCATCACCCCATGGATAAGCATTGAATGCATCCAAATCATCAACTAAATTTATGTAGTATGCCTTCATGGGTCTAGCAGCTTGATTCCCAAATAAGCAGTGTGAAACTATGTATAGTAGTGCCAGTTTGACTCCATCATTTGTCAGTCTGCTATCATCAGTGCTCTTGTAATTCTTCAATGCATTCTGAATATCTGCACGAGTCACAGTTGTCTTGCCTCCTAAATAATTTGTCCATATATCTCCCTCAAGCTCTTCAGAAATATTTGGTTTCACAGCTCCAAACTTTAAAGCACACATTACTGCAAGATCATGCTTCTGAAAACTGATCACACTGTCTTTAATGTTAAACCTGATGACACTGTCATCTGTCTTTCCATTAACTTCAGTCACAAAGTTTCCAATCAATCCCAAAATCAATTGTCCACTCAGCCAAGGAATATCTTCTATTCTTAACATCCAACCAAATACAGTATTCTTGAACTCTGTCAGTTCCTCTGTGCTTAGATATGTCTTTATTTTCTTAAGAACCTCAGAAACATTGCAGTAGGAGTTGACACGCAAGTCTTCCAACTTCAGTAACACTGACTTCTTAAAAGCTCTTGTTATTGTCTCTCAAGTTCACACATATATATGCACTTTAATCACCATGTAAATGACTAACAATAATGACACTTCATACAAAATGACACTATATGAGCAAGTTAAATTTATTAAACTGTCATTATTGCATCAGTTTCTCAATTTCTCATTATATGTGATGTCATTTTGCTTTGAATCTCACACATATTCATACAATGTCATTATTTAATGCATAATGTCATGATAACATTCATATAAGGTTACATTTGCAGTACATAACCACATACAAAATGACACTATATGAGCAAGTAAAATTTATTAAACTGTCATTATTGCATCAGTTTCTCAATTTCTCATTATATATGATGTCATTTTGTTTTCAACCTAACACATATTCATACAATGTCATTATTTAATGCATAATGTCATGATAACATTCAGATAAGGTTACATTTCCAGTAAATAACAACATACAAAATGACACTATATGAGCAAGTAAAATTTATTAAACTGTCATTATTGCATCAGTTTCTCAATTTCTCATTATATGTGATGTCATTTTGCTTTGAAGCTCACACATATTCATACAATGTCATTATTTAATGCATAATGTCATGATAACATTCATATAAGGTTACATTTGCAGTACATAACCACATACAAAATGACACTATATGAGCAAGTAAAATTTATTAAATTGTCATTATTGCATCAGTTTCTCAATTTCTCATTATATATGATGTCATTTTGCTTTCAACCTAACACATATTCATACAATGTCATTATTTAATGCATAATGTCATGATAACATTCAGATAAGGTTACATTTCCAGTACATAACCACATACAAAATGACACTATATGAGCAAGTAAAATTTATTAAACTGTCATTATTGCATCAGTTTCTCAATTTCTCATTATATATGATGTCATTTTGTTTTCAACCTAACACATATTCATACAATGTCATTATTTAATGCATAATGTCATGATAACATTCAGATAAGGTTACATTTCCAGTACATAACCACATACAAAATGACACTATATGAGCAAGTAAAATTTATTAAACTGTCATTATTGCATCAGTTTCTCAATTTCTCATTATATGTGATGTCATTTTGCTTTGAATCTCACACATATTCATACAATGTCATTATTTAATGCATACTGTCATGATAACATTCATATAAGGTTACATTTGCAGTACATAACCACATACAAAATGACACTATATGAGCAAGTAAAATTTATTAAACTATCATTATTGCACCAGTTTCTCAATTTCTCATTATATGTGATGTCATTTTGCTTTGAAGCTCACACATATTCATACAATGTCATTATTTAATGCATAATGTCATGATAACATTCATATAAGGTTACATTTGCAGTACATAACCACATACAAAATGACACTATATGAGCAAGTAAAATTTATTAAACTGTCATTATTGCATCAGTTTCTCAATTTCTCATTATATGTGATGTCATTTTGCTTTCAACCTAACACATATGCATACAATGTCATTATTTAAGGCATAATGTCATGATAACATTCATATAAGGTTACATTTCCAGTACATAACCACATACAAAATGACACTATATGAGCAAGTAAAATTTATTAAACTGTCATTATTGCATCAGTTTCTCAATTTCTCATTATATGTGATGTCATTTTGTTTTCAACCTAACACATATTCATACAATGTCATTATTTAATGCATAATGTCATGATAACATTCAGATAAGGTTACATTGCCAGTACATAACCACATACAAAATGACACTATATGAACAAGTAAAATTTATTAAACTGTCATTATTGCATCAGTTTCTCAATTTCTCATTATATATGATGTCATTTTGTTTTCAACCTAACACATATTCATACAATGTCATTATTTAAGGCATAATGTCATGATAACATTCATATAAGGTTACATTTCCAGTACATAACCACATACAAAATGACACTATATGAGCAAGTAAAATTTATTAAATTGTCATTAGAGTAAACATGTCATTTACTCTATTGCGAATGCAATAGTATTCATCATAAGAGTTTTTGCGCGGCTAATTTAAAACGTATTAACATTCATCAAATTTGTTTCAAATCTTATTAACTGCCAATCGACATTCAATTGCAGGCATTATGATAAGAAATGAGTACATACCATTTTGGAATTGATTCTAACGGAAACTGTATTTGATAAATCCATAGTTTTGTCGTCAATGGCTTCGTCCTTCAACTATCTTCAACCAATCAGCTCTCCTCAATGAAACTCTCCTCAAGGAAGTTACGTCGACTAGGAAGCGGCAATTTCTCAACGGTAAGGCTTCCAATATATCTTCATTTAATTTTTGGAATCTTTTTTTCAGGGGTAATGATACTGGGAAATTGGAAACCGGGAGGTGCCGAAATGGGAGTTTTGTAACCGTCAAATGAGCTCAGAGTACGTGTAGCGGTTTGAAGGTCATTTTTGGCATTTCAACGCATAATTAGTCTTACGCGCGTGAGCTGAAACATGGGTGTCCTATTCTTGCAATTTCCATAAATTTTGGTCTTATTTGGGTAAAATTCTCTTGATATAATCAACTCTCCTCATTTCTCAATGAGAAGATCACTGATGTCTAGATTGATTTAAAATGTTTGGTCTACAAAGTATTGTGTTTTTTATAGTTCCAAATTAGTATTATACTATCGTATATTGTAATTTCCTTATTCATTTTTAGCTAGCTTATTATTAGCCTTTATCCTTATGTTTTCTTCTAGAACGTCAATGCAAGAACCTACTGATCTTCCTTCTGACATTCTCTGTGAGCTTTGCTAGAGTATTGTCATGACGGCGCAAAATGAGTATGGTATTCAGTACAGCCCATCTCACTCGAGAATAAGTTTTTTTCTGTGCAAACCCTAGGCTTCGAAGTAGTGTGTCTAACTGTCATGTCACGTGAGAACTCTTTTGTATTTGCCATTCACACCCCTGCATAAAATGACCAAAATTTTCCTAGCAAACGAATCAAGCAAATACTGCTTCACACTGGACCCTTGGCCCTTTTAGGGAAATACAAGAAACAATGTAAAAAAATGCAAGTCCTCCCTCAGCACATCCGAAAAGAAGACACATTGTTGCTACACCTGCTAGAGCAATGCAAGAAAACCTGTTCAGCATCTGCCAAAAAAATGCACATTCAAGATCTTTCTGCTCTCGATCTGTTGTTTTTGTTACCAACTGATTCAGCTCCTAATGTAAAAACAATCAAGACCAAACAAAATCAAGACCAAATCCTGTGTTGCAGCATTGTAATGTAATAGTTGAATGTAATACTTCGTAAAAAACTGCTATTTTTTATTATAAATTTCAGCTTTTAAAGGACATAACAACATATACGTAGATAGAGTTGGAAAGATAATTAGATGTAAACAATCAATGTAACACACAGATCGTAAGTATTATCATGACAAATTTAACAAAAGCAATATGAGGGTTAATGCACTTGATCTCCCAAAAGCCTTAGGCAAGAAAACTTGAAATAACAAGTTCATGTTTTCTATAATAAATTAAAGTATGTTATTATAATGTTATTAAGGAGCAGTGAAGCCGTTAACCAAACAGAAAAACAATTAAAGAGGGGATAAATCTCCTGTGATAACTTACATACATGTTTTAAACTTAATTTTGATGGATAAAATTTCAAAATATCATTCAAATCTTGTGCAATCGTAATGTAATTAGGGCAGAAAGAACTTCAGGTTATGATATACGAAGTATGTGGGAAATGCAAGGCACAAACATAAGACAACTCAAAATACCACAAATTTGAGTCTTAATGTTGAGATATCTTGACCGAAGAACTCTACCCTGTCATTTGATAAATTAACAAGGCATCAAATATACATTGCAAATTAAAAATATACATAAAAACTAAATGATTTACCTTGAAAGAGAGGAGGGATTGTGAGGGCGAGACAGTCAGAGAGGATGTTTATTGCTACGCTTAACGGACAACCGTAGCAATAAGCTTTTAATTAACAATCTGACAACAAGCTTTTATGCATTACAGAGAAATACATAATCTTTATATTATATAAAGCAATTGGGTGGCCAATTGATTTTATAATTTTCGCGCCTGAAGCAATTGGGGTGACCACTTGATTTTGCAATTTTGCAATTGAGTTGTTTGGTTCATCCAAGCACACTTAATTCAATTAAATGTCATTTATTATTCATACGGCTATGTCTTTTATATTATATACACACGTGTCGGATCCAAATAATCATTAGTTGTATTATAATAGAAACATATACTACCTTTGTCCGTTGAAGGGTTCTCATTGCAAAATGTCCCGATTATTTAGACAATAATTAAATATGATAATTGAATGATATTTTGAAAAATAAATTTGATAGGTGTATAATATAATGAGGTTAATGGTGATAACTATCATAATATAAATGCATTATTTATAATATCTCATGATTAAGTTGTAATTTAAGAGTGTTAATATAGAAATGAGAACTTTATATAGGACGTACGGAAAAGGAAAGAGTGGGAACCTTTATGTATGGGACAAAGGGAATACTTTGTATATACTGCGAATAGCAAATCATTTTGACTACTTAATTGCACAAATGTCACTATGACATCAGAGATAACAATTGGTTTTACAATTTTGCAATGGAGTTGTTTGACCCATCCAGACACACAATTAAAGTCATTTATTATTACTACGACCATATATAGTACATCGGTTCTTAAATAATTGCAACATTATAAATTTTACACTATTTGCGTGCTCTACTATGACATAACAATTAATGTTGCAATTTTGCAATGGAGTTGTTTGGCCCATCTAGACACACATTTAAAAGTAATTTATTATTCATACGACCATATATAGTACCTCCGTTCTTATGACTAATAAGATGACCATATTTTGCAACATTATAAATTTTACCCTATTCACGTGCTCTACTATGATTACGTTTTATTTATTAATGTATTAATAATTTCTTTTAAAAAATACCATTTATAATTAAAATCCTCTAATTCTAAATTTTCAAAAGTGGTTTTTATTGTTTAATCAGTTTTTTAGATAAAGTAAGAAATTGTAATGTTTTTCTTCATCACATGATCATTGATCGGTTTAAATTTTTGGAATAAGTTTGTAAGAAAATAACCAATCAACCTATTTTTTTATCTCATTAATGTGTATTGAGTATTCCCGTGCAATGCACGGGTTCATCGTCTAGTACATAATGATTTTAAAAAGGTGATAAGCATAACAATAAGTTTAGAGCTCTTCATCTCTGAAAGGGGAGTTTGCAGATGAACCCCGAACTGCTTTAACTATTTGACAAAACTTGCTTTAATCA